TTTTATATATATATATATATATATATATATATATATATATATAATATATATATATATATTTAAATAAAAAGAAAGAATAAGATATATAATCCGGTGTTCTTATAGATATTTTTACTTTTATAAAATAGTGCTCAATGTAAATTTACAGAGCATTAATATTAAATTAATTGATTTAAATATATGTTTTCCGCTACACAGTTCTAATCATGTTTCAAAAATTTTGTTAGAAATGTGTAGCGAAAAATCATATTTTAAATCAAATAATATATATATATATATATATATATATATATATATAACATGAATCATTTATACAAATAGTAGATTAGTAAAGTTAATGATATAAATGGCGAAAAACATCTTCGCAAACAAATTTATTAAAGTTACATTAACCCATGAACCACTCGATGAATGTTATGATCCTTGTTTTTAATAACTTTAAGTTGTATAAGTTCTTTTTTTTATTTTGCTTGTACTTTCAGCTGTACTTACAGCCATCCTCAGGCATGGAAATTAATTTGTTTTTTTTAGTAAATCCAGGTAGTACACGAAAGATTAAATGCTAATCGAAATGTATTTTTTTTTAGAAATGTTTTATTATTAACGGATAAGAAATTTTTGAGTCTGCAATCGCAACGCTAAGGTAGAATTTTTTTTTTTGAGAATTTAAGAGAGTGCTTTTTTTACTAATAAGGTAATTTTATAATTTTTTTCTTGTAAAATCTCCTACTGCCCCACATATTTATATATATATATATATATATATATATATATATATATATATATATATGGTAAAGGTAGCAAATCGGTTGGTATATAATCCAAATGAATCATAGTAAAATAAAATAGTAAAACTGATCCACAAAAGTATTCAATGTATTTATTATGACAGAGCATATAAATTACACAATCTACAAATCAAAAATTACCTCATGGGTATAGTCTTTTTCAACCGATGCCCTGTAACTCAGTCTTATTCAACTCAGACGGATAGACTGTATTCAGTGTCGGAAATAGTGATTAAAATTTAATATTTAACAATGACAGCAGTTGAGAAAATGATACAGAGCCTACCCATATTAACGCCTTGGTAGGACAGACTGCTCGAGTAGTGGTAAGGAGAGAGCGGAAGTTATCTCTCCTAAAAGGAGCCTTTTTTTCTTATACCTACTGTTTATCATCCTAGAAATCCATGTAAGGCGATAATGTCACTAAGACGTAAGGGAGTTAGTGGAAGTGAAACAGTGAGAAAACGTAAGTGAGAAGAAGTGAGGAGAAATTATAATAAAAAGAAAAGGATTCAAGAAAAAAAGTGTGATTGGAATTATATTTTAAATTTTAAAGATTGTAGTTGACAGGGAAGCACGAAATCAGAATGGATCCATGTAAGGCGATAATGTCACTAAGACGTAAGGGAGTTAGTGGAAGTGAAACAGTGAGAAACGTAAGTGAGAAGAAGTGAGGAGAAATTATAATAAAAAGAAAAGGATTCAAGAAAAAAAAGTGTGATTGAATTATATTTTAAATTTTAAAGATTGTAGTTGACAGGGAAGCACGAAATCAGAATGGATCCATGTAAGGCGATAATGTCACTAAGACGTAAGGGAGTTAGTGGAAGTGAAACAGTGAGAAAACGTAAGTGAGAAGAAGTGAGGAGAAATTATAATAAAAAGAAAAGGATTCAAGAAAAAAAGTGTGATTGGAATTATATTTTAAATTTTAAAGATTGTAGTTGACAGGGAAGCACGAAATCAGAATGGATCTTTACAAGTGAGAATAGAGAGAAAAGAACTATTGAAGTAAATGTATAGATAAGCTGAGGGCCAGATGGATTTTCTCAAAATTTCTCAGCAAGTCACAGTCATTGCTTTATGTAAAAATAGGCATAGAGTATCTACAAGATATGGCGAAGCAAGTTCAAAGGAAAATATAACCATTGTCAGCATCTGGAGACATGGCTGAAATGCCACATCATCTACACATGGTGACATGGCAGGCAACATGTTAAGCTAAATTATGTTTCTTCAGGAAAGATAGAAACGTGGTACGTCATCTTTTGGCATTATTTCGGAAGTACTACTGGCGCCATCTGCCAGAACCTACTCAAGAGGCAAAGACAGACTGTTTCTTTCAAAGTAAACTGATAGTGAATGAAATATTGTTTGAATACATGTTGAACCAAAAGATAAGCTTAGGTTAGCTACATTATCAGTTGAAGAAAAATATCATCATCATCATTATTGTTATGAGACCTTACCCATAATAATGTAATGGACTATTCCATGCGTAATAATTACTGCGCCTCAAGAAGAAGCAGGAGTTCAGTCCGAAGTCGGGTGACCGGCTGACCGGCTGATCGGTTGAACTCTCTGCCTACGGGCGGGGAGGAACCCAAACGAGGCTACGCCGAAGGGCGGAGTCTATTTTTCGGAAGGGCCCCGACCCCTGAACCCGTTTATACGGGTTCAAAGGGCATATTTTTGGACGAGCCCATGGGCTCGAGATCCCACGTTAAACCGGCCTTTGTGCCACATGATGCCCTCGTGCGGGGGGTGACTAAATACCAGTTCAAGTCTGGAAGTGAGGTCCGTCAGAAGTTTGTCAGTCAGTTAGAGGAGCGAGTCAGTCAGTCAGTCGAGTCAGAGGCAGTCCGAAACAGAGTCGTGTTCAGACAATTACTACTAAACCTGATTGTTCGTACTAACCCTTTTCTACCTCTCTGTATATATTCCTGTTTGTAATATATCTGTGTTATTCCATATCCGTATTCGAGTTCTTCTTTATTGGTTGTACCTTGGACCATCACCGTGGTACAAGGAACCGGACCATAATAATTATCATCATTAATCCAATTTATTTTAACCTGGAAAGACTACAGTGCTTGAAAATTTGACCATTTTTAACGCCATTAATTGATCAAAATTTGTAATTTTTGAAAAAAAAAAAAATTCAGAGTAGCTTTTAACATCACCCGATTAAATCAACAGCGACGAGTCCGTGAATAAGGTGAGCTGTTGAGAAGGATGGGCAGAAACAGGTCTAGCTGTTCAAGACACGCCCTTGTATATATGGATAACACTCTGGCTGTCAACCTAAAAATATCTGCTCAGCTGCCCAGCGACCCTACGACTCCAGCCAGTCATGGAGATGATAATTACGATGAAGATATATATTCTTTAAATTTATAATGTTTAATTTAATAATATGTTAATACCTAAACGAAAGTGCCAAGGGTGGATAACTCGTCTAAGTAATAGGTTCTGGAATTTTTATTCTATATCTGGGAAAGATATATCCTCAAGGGAAAACAGTGCCCTGGACTTGTAATTTGCTAGGGATGCAGATTTAACCATTGTCTATGTCATGGAGAGCCCGAACTAAAGAAAGCCACCGCTACGGTTTGCTTGCTGTAAACGAACTTAATTTTGAATGCCGCTTTTCATCACTGTATGGAGTGACGTCACGAATCGGATGTCATTTTACCTACGTGACTTATATCCACCAAAGGGAGATAAACTCCTTCTGTATCCTTACAGGTTTTAACTGACTTTGAAAAGGTTGATAAACCGTAAAATAACAAATTAGTCAATGGATATCTTCAGTATATTGGAACGACTGACATGTTCACACTATGGTTTGGTTTGTTTTGTTTTACGGCATATTAACCTCAATGGGTTATGTAATGCCGAATAGATTTGTATTACTAGTAATATTTTTTCTAAAAATGTATTGTTGCTAATATTTTTCCAGAAATGTATTGCTGGTAAAATTTTTCCAGAAATGTATTGCTGGTAATATTTTTCTTCAAAAATGTATTACTGGTAATAATAGTTTTTCAAAAATGTATTGCTGTTAATATTTTTTCCTTCAAAAATTTATTACTGGTAATAATTTTCTTCAAAAATTCATTGCTGGTAATAATTTTTTCTTCAAAAATTCGTTCCTGGTAATATTTTTACAAAAATATATTGCTAGTTTTAAAACCTATTTTTACACTTCCATAGTGTTTTAACCCCTGTTTGGGGGTTAAATATTTGCCCAGAGATGGGACCCTAACAGATGCTACCACCCCAGATCCGGATGGACCTGGGAACACCGGCAAGTAAGAGGTGGTTCCATGCTCTTTCGAAACCTCCTGATCAGAGGCCTTGTCGTTGGACGTAGTTTATCGTCTTACCCACGCCAGTTCAGACTATTTGGGTAAGCAGTTACTTCTTTTTTTAATTCCATCAGAAACAAGAAAATGAAGTTTGATCACAATAAATTTGGTTTTATACCGGATATTTAAAACTACTCTGGATCTAACATCAGTTTTTCCCTTTGGATTGCTAAATGATTGATTTGTTTTTTTTTTACAGCTTGTCAACCCTCTATGGATTATTTAAAGAAACATATTTTAGACTGTAAGAATAATTAATTTGTTGAATATTGCATTATCA